GATGACTTCTACTCCTAAATGAAGAAGTAGACGAAAGTCTTGCCCAGCAGACGGGAGGAGGCCACTGGTAGTTGACCCACTACCTCCTGAGCCACGCCGAGTATCCACTGACCCAACATGATATCTCTGTCTTCCTACAAAACCCGGTGTCACAGTCCAGTGTTAGACAAAAACAGTCTTCATAGATTTCACTATAAACGTCATGTGACCAATCTTACCCCAGTAGGCTTCCCAGCCAGCATCTTGGATTCCTCCTGATACTTCCACTTGTGGATCAAACACCTCCTCATCAGCTATGACATAAAAACATCATGCGTGACATCACAGTCGCATGAAAAAAGAAGGACCACATGCAATCCTCTGAAACAATAAATACTTCCATTGTAATTAAGAAGGTAAGGAGCCATGTGCTGCTGATAAAAGCCTGTAAGCTGACGGCCTACAAGGAGAACTTCTGGCAATTTGCTGGTCTGGAACATTCAGCTGTGTGGACCCAAAGGTCTGATTGTGCAAGAGCTATATCGCAGACGTTGTTAACATTTAACAGGCCTTAATTAGCATGTTGAATGTTAAATGTTCCCAACAGTGGAATATAACCCCATTTACAAACAGTGGGATGGTGTTCCCAAAAGTTGATTCTGTACATCTGGACGTTTTCAGTGGGAGAAACCTTTCGTCACTCTTCCAGCTGACTTCTTCAGTCTCAGCTGACTGCAGGTGTTTAACCTTATAACCAGGACATCTGCACAATGACTGAAACTAACAGCACTGAGGGAACAATGGGCTGTGAGGTCAGTATATTGATCAGTTTCTTGATCATTAATATGCTGCCATTGAAAGCTCACTAGTGCATGTTGTCACAGTAATCCCAGTACCAGATGGTACCTGTCAGCTCCATCATCTACAAGCCGAGTGCAGCTGTGGCAGCAGCTGACACAAAAACTCACCGTGGAGAAAGTGGATACTCTAGCACATACAAACCTTTGTAATATTACTCGTAAAAAACAATATTATATTATTATAAAAACAATAAAAGCAAAAAGATAATCGCATCACCTTTTTCATCAGCCTCTTCTTCACTTGTATCTTCACAGTATTTTGAGGAACTCCTGTTAGACCTGC